GAATTTATGCTGCCCCACACTGTGATTTCACCTTTTTTTACAACTTTCTTATAAGTATGTCTAAAGAAGAATTCTAGTGCCTTGTCCCAGAAAACTGCTTGTGAAATAAGATAAAGAATGCACACGTCGTATGGTAAAAAATAACAGACTTTATTGCAGGAACGAAGAGTGGTTACAAGTATTGAACAAAATCTGTCTGTGCCTCGATATAATTCTAATCTTTATAGGAAAAATAACAGAGCTGTATCGAAAAAAAGAAGTAAAAAGCAAATATTTCTTAATGGGCTCGCTTGCCATACCATTCAATTTGTTGGAATAATGGGCTTGTACCACATAGTTATGTTACCAACAGGATTCCATAACTTATATTATCCTTCCGCTCAAAAATCACCCAAAAAGATATTGCTTAACTTAGTTTTGAATCTAGAAGATATAGTTTTGATGCTGATCAATTTGCTTACAGTGTTTGCCAGTCCTATAAACTAATGTTAGTAACAATCGAGCACAAAATGTCCGATCAGACAAGCATCGCATCCCGTGCAATGCAAAAATAACGTGATTCCACATCCCCAGTTCTTGAGATATTACAGATTTTAGAAGCCCGGCTGCAAGGAAACCATCTACAACATTTGTTCAATACGAAAATCGCGAAGATTGAAACATGAAAACGTTAATTAAGCATTAATCTTCAATAATTCTAAAGACGGCCATTGTTTTTATCATCCTGCCTAATTGATCTAGCTGAATCGAAAGATCCCAAAACGAGTATACTGTGCTTTCCAGGACACCCCATCTACCGCTACTTGTTCATTGAACGGGTCGATTTAGCAAGCTGGAATTGGGAATGATGAAATTGATGCATGAATTTTAACGTAAAAATAACAGTTGAAAATTTAATGAGGGGTCATGTGATACCTAATTTTAGAGATCCTTATATTATGTACAAATATAACCCCAGCGTGGCAACGTTGGTTTGCGCCTCCCCATCTTTAAATTCTTTAATCAACTACTCGTAAAATGAACTTTTCGCGTGTTTTTTTTTCATAGCAAAATCGTATAAGCAATCGTCAATTGTCAGATTAGCGACATTTGAGAGCCTAAACGTAGACATAGTCGGTCTGAGATAATTCTTAATTAAACTAAGCGTAGAGAAACTTCTCGCGCAACTGGCAGATGTAAAATAAATTCTCAATAATATGACAATATTTGGTGAGCCATCTTCAAGCTTGGGCTCAATAATAATAAGCCCAGAGAGCTGGACTTCATGAGCTCTTTTTTTACAGTCCGGTTCTATTATAGCTACGAAAGGTTGAATACATGCGCGCTCAATTTAGAATTCTTCATTATTAAATCCTTTCTCTATATCACCTTGCCTAAAAAACTGTTTTGGTGCTCTGTTACTCCTGACCAAATAATTTTTCATATTGAACGCAAATATTTATTTTGCATTGCAGATTTCAACAGCTTTCGTTAATTAAGTCCAGTTTGAATCATTCGTCGATAAAATGCCACTGAGCTGGGCCAAATATTTTCCATAATATCAATTCATTCCTCGAAAGCAACCCTCGTTCACGATTTCTATTTTGATTTCAGTTATCAAAACATACAAAGTCCGCATCGGATTTTGTAAATTACTCTGCCGACAATAAACTGCTGTCTCACAAAACTAGACGACGAGTCACAAAGTGTTTTAATGCCAGATTTTTCTGCCGGGACTATGATTGATCCGGGATATAAATAAATAAATAGCGCCCAACAGTTAGGGTAACCAATCACAGGACATAGTCTAATCATATTAGACGAAAATACCCCTGGTTTTGCGAAATAATTGTAATGTTTGGTTTTATTGCTGCAAGCTGTTTAAGGGCGTATTGAAAACATGGATGCATGAAATGGGTATACCAATTTTTGTGAAAAAACTTTTTATTCGACAACAAAGAATGAGAAAACGAGTTTTTTGGGATTCAATCGAAAGTGTTGGCAGGAACAAAAAACCTCGTCATATAAGGTTTTTAGGTATTTATGAGTCCTAAAAAATGAGACCACACGTGAAAAGATCCGACTAATAGCAAAAAAGCTATGGCCGAAAACCGAGGCAAACTGCAGCTTTTGGCACTTGTTGGTAATGCGACAAAGGTTTCTCGTAGATATTTGAAATTCTTCAAATTTGTAGGATTCGTACTTGTCAATAACCACAACAAAATTGTAGTAGATTGGTCAAGTAGTTTTTGAGAATTTGTAATTGTTTACTCCAAAACACCTGTCTTCCGGCCATCAGTACCAGTTTATTGAGCAATATACAGGGTTAGTTCAAAGGGCATTTTATAGCAAAATACACTAGTTTACCTTACCGATATGAATCGCAAATCATTCCGTAAAATAAATGTTATTTGTATGCAAAAAAGGATGGGTTAGGTTTTTTCTAAACAAATTCGAACATTTTGTATATGTTTTTTGAATATCGTAGCGCATTTGTTCAGTTATTCACAAATACGGAATGTTTGAATTTGTTTAGAAGAAAAAACGTAACCTTTGTTTTTCGCATAAAAATAACATTCATGGACCTGGACAACTGGCAACCTCGTCAAGAACATTCACGTCTAGTAAAATAAGCAATTTTATGTTAGAAAAAAGTTTAATTTTCGCAAAGTGAGTATGACTGGTCCGGGATATAAATAAATAAGTATCGTTTATTGCCAACAGTTAAGGAAACCACAATAAAAGGTTTTAACGGTACGTATTTGAATAGATGGGGCATTAAGGTGTAGTTGAGCCACAATTTCATTAGCGTCAATTTCGTGCAGCAGTTTATGCAAGAAATTGATTGACGCATACTTATCCGGGATATAAATAAATAAGTAGCGTTTATTGCCGACAGTTAAGGAAACCACAATAAAAGGTTTAAACGGTACGAATTTGAATAGATGGGGCATTAAAGTTTAGTTGAGCCACAATTTCATTAGCAGTAATTTCGTGCAGCAGTTTATGCAAGAAAATGATTGACGCACATTTAGCTCTAAATACCGCATTTAAAACCTAGACAATAACATGGATATGAAAAAACAATCAGACATTGGTATAGAATACACAATTTCCAATAGCGTATGAGATGTAGCGTCACACTTTTCGCAATTGGCAATTCCAAAGATGGTGGAACCAGCGACGTTTGTAAAATTCAGCATAAATAGATAAGATTAAAATGGAGAATTGCTACGATCTCCTGGGACCGTCCCACAACAACATACCCATAGATCTGGACAGTATCGTTTTTTTTTAAATGACTTGTTTAAAACTGGTTTCCTTCTATGAACGCTCGTATCCAGGCGGTCATACCCGGCTGTGTAAGCAATTGTTCAGAATCTACCCAACTCCAAAGTGAAATGCTGCGACAAATATAAAACAGTAAATCTAATAACACGAGCTGTTTGCACCAAAAACCGATACATCATAAAATTACCGTTTTCTATCGAATTTTAGTTCTATCATGGGTGGGCTATTGCGTTATTACCTTTCCACGTCAATATAGGCGAGGAAATATTGTACGAACATCCATGTAATTCATTACGGTCGGTCTATCTATTCGTCTTTTCTATCCCAAGAGGTGGTGACATTTAACTCTTCGTGATTTTTTGTGGACTTCGTGCTTCTTATAAATTGCCATGTTTCTAACGACAAAGAAAGACAAGTAGTTTTTCGGAAACTTAGATGAAAAACAAAGGACAATCGTGGGCATGTCCGCAATAAAGAGATATGAGCGACGTACGCTTCCGCTTATTGGCTAAAATCAAGTCAAGCTCAAATCAAGTATTAGGTATTAGCAGTCAAGAAGTTTTTATGACAAATACGAGAAAATTCAAGTAATGTCCATATTACTCTATAATTTTTGTAATATAAATACGAGTGAACCATAAATACACAGACGTTGTGACAAGTTGGTGAGAAAACGATAGGGTAAACTCGGTAGAGATGGCGCATGTTTTTTTAAATTGATATAAAAAATCGGATTTAAATTATTTAATGAGTATCAACTTCTTATACAGTAGTATTGAATAAAATGAAAGTAGGAACTACCAAAATACAAAACTGTATTTCAATTTACTAACAAAAAAGGGGTTTTTTCTAAATAATAGGAAATACCATCTCACCCCTAGGGTATTAGAAAAAATGACTAAATTTTAACACTTTCACGTCGGTCGCATTGCGAGCAGTAGCTAGGAGACTTCGTGCAGCTCTCTTGAAGCCATTTGTGGCAAGAAACGCACTGCAACCAGTCCTCTTGACTTGTAGTGTTTATGTAGATCTCCCCACAGCCAACACACTAAGATTACTCATCGTTGTCATGGATGTTGCTATTTGAATCGCTTTGTAAATCAGTATCACTATCTGAAGAAGAAGCACTGTAGTATTCTGAATTTTTGTGTTGCTTTTCATGGTTCGTCGCCATTTTGGGGCCTTTTTACGTTTTTTCACACCTTTCTTTTCATTTTCCGCTAACAGTTCGTAGCGTAGTTCTGCCAGAGGTGTGTCATTATCCGAAAAAGATTCTCCCGAGTTTCTTGTTTTTTCCAGTTGGCTGATCTTAGATGTTTTGTCATTTTTTTCACCCTGATTGATTTCTATTAGCGTTTTCTTTTTTAAAATATTTTCTGCATATGTCAATATTTCATCAAGCTGACGACTGCGTTTGCGTAACACTTTAGAAGTACTAGGAACTGGGCAGATGCTGTCTAACATTTTCCCTGGGGTTTCTTTCTCCTTTTTTAGGGTGAAACGGCGTACGCCAACTAACCCAATTTGTGCGGGTACGATGGCTCAGTCACTTGCTTATCAACGAATAACTATTTCCATAATTTTAAGGTTACAAAACAAACTAATGTTATTTCAAAGCGATAATGTTACAACTACTGAGAATTCTAGTCAGTTCCATTTCAAAATAATTAAATTGCTTAGTGTCTAAAAAAATAAGGTATGATAAAATATATAATGGAAAATTTAATTACCTTAACTCCAAATAAAGGCACGAGATGAACGGAAAACTTGCACATGAAGATCGACAGTAATGGCGACGTTGTCGGCTCCTAGTTCGTTCAGGAAAATATTGCACTGCGCCGTCTAGCCCGCTGAGCCATCTCTGCCGAGTTTACCCTACATATAAAAAAAATATTTTGTTTATTGTGTAGCAAATAAAAGAACGATAAAACTGTAAACTCAAATATAAAAAAAGATTCTCCACCAGCTGATACAAAACATTAAAAAATAATAATTAGCTTTTCATTCACTAATCACGAGTTAGGAGACATGGAGCCTCTGAAACGTCAAAGACGAAGACGAATTTTGAAACAATTTTAATTTTTTGCTTCTAGCTCCGCCATCACTGGGCCCTTTGCCAAAAATAAAGTTTTCGCGTCCTTGGCGTCGAGGCAACTTTTTCTCAAAATCCGATCGGTTCTGTCAAAGTTATACCGAGGCCAGACAGACCGACGGAAATGAGTGACATGGTCTTTCGTGATATATTGTACGTGTCAAGTATCATCCAAACAACATTTTGAAATTTTTGTGGTGTGGAAAGTGAACATGCTTAGAGCATAAATGTCAGCAACCGTTGGGATATGTATACTGAATGTCAAATAAACCGTGAAAGTTGGAGCTAACAGCTTTGTATAGCTCTCGCTCTCACGTTGACCCGAAAACGTAACAAGCAACTGGATGATGCCATTTATCATGTGCACAAATGCAGACATAATGTCACGATAAAGTTATCTGTTGACAAGTACACGGAACTTGCATTGGCATACATTTTAGATGAATGTGGTCTACGAAATGCAACATCTGTAAACAGAATTACACTACAGAAATAACACGCCAGAGTAACAAGGGAGGTAAATTGCAGATAAAATAAACATGACCGTAGTAAAAGTTTTCTATTTTGAGTGTTTTAAAAAAATCACCACTTTTTGCTCCTTTTTTGCCTGTTAATGCTATAAAGAACTTCTAACTTGGGATTTTTTTCTTGGGTAACCATTAATAGTTCGTTGAGACAACCGAGTATTTATTTAGTTAAGAACTAGCACGGTATGCTAAAAAAAAATTATTATATTTTGTTTCAATGAGAAAACCTTTATTAAAGTTTGACTAATTATTGTGAAAAAAAATCTAACAGACTGAATCGGCAGATTGTCTTAAAAACTAGCCTATTTAATGCTCTTTTAAAAAGCAGTATAACATCTGTTGGTTCTTTCTACTAATATAAGAATAATTTGTCATTGAGGTCGTAATACTTGCGAAATACTACAAATAATAGATAAGTGCAGCCATCTTTTGTATCAAACTCACTAAGGAATGCAACGACCTAAACATGTCATTGGCTAACGTGGCTCTCACATTCATATTAATGGTTGCCCAGGAAAATAATGGTAAGTTAGAAGTTCTTTATAGCCATAACAGCTAAAAAAGGAGCAAAAGCATTGATTTTGTGAAAAAACTTGAAAGTTGCAATATCTCAAAAACTAGAAAACCTTTACTAAGGTCATGTTGATTTTATCTGATTGATCTGAAGCCAATCTACCTCCCGTGCCACTCTGGTGTGTTATGTGTGTGGCACCCTGTAAGTATTGAGATAATTTTGGCATAAAAAATGTTTCCGTTTCTCATGAAGAGAGAGAGGATTGGCCCCATTAATTCTCTTATACGTCGTTATTCAGGGGTTACTCACTACTCAGGACTAATCATCAGCTACCAAAAACTAGAGCAGAACATTGTAATGTGACCCAGCGGTTTCTTGGATTACCCATAGGAAGACACTTGAAACTTTAGCTTGGGCCACATTTGGCCAAAAATCCCTTCCAAGACACATTCAGTCGAAAGCTTTCAAAAAATCAGTACTCACGAGTACACTCACATAATCATTATCATTGAGTTTAGGAACAGTTGAACCACCTTTTGAAAGGTCTTGAGGTGTATTGGTAAACACTATTCAAAAAATTAAGGGAGCAAGAAAAAAATGCAATTTTTCCGGTGATTTTTGAGATGGTCGTATCTAGACTTTAAAATAAGCATTTTGAAACCTTAAGATTCCAGTTTTTAGGTTTTTTAGCCGAAAGATTTTAGCATCAACGGTTCTCATGCAATTTTAACAGTTAGCAGACAAAAAAAAATGCAAAATTTGGAATTCCCAAAATGTGGTCGATTTACCAAACCAAGGCAAGATTAACTCCTTTGACTTTCGTAAAATCAACACTAAAAAAACAAAAAAAAAATAACTTGAAAATTGTAATCAAATCTCATAGGAGATTTGTTCCAGCTTTCGGAAATACCCTTATATTTCCAACTGAAATTATTACTCCTATTAGGGTTGCAAGAACGAGTATACAGGATTCCTCATACAGCATTGCATGTTGCAAAAACATTGGTAATACTCCCTTAGAACAGCTATACAAGCGGAATAGGGTCTAATAGGACACTTCAGTCATTTAAGAGATTGTATAAGGGCTGCAGGTAACAGTTATACAACAAAAGTGTAAACCTCTTGCAGCCGCTAAAGAACACTGCGTCAGTGTATGATTCAATTTTTGTCAACTATACAACAATTATGTTACTTGATTCTATATTAGTGCAACCTGTTCTTATGTATTGTATAGGCGAGTGAAGAATATATAGGGTGGCCGATATGTAACTGACTGGTTTGTATCTTGAATATTTGTGAAATGAAATAAAATATACTAAGTGACATATAAATCCGAACACCCAGTTTAAATGGTTTTATTTTAATAAAATTTTGTATAAGTACTTAATGAAGCATAATAAGTAAATGATAAAAATTTCAAAATAATTGCACTGCTTTAATGCCCTTTGACCTTTAATAATGTGTACGCATTCTCCAACGCGCCTAGGCATGCTTCTGATCAGGTGGTCAATGTCCTCCTGTGGTATCTCATTCCAGGCAACCACCAACTCCTCTCGAAGTGCTTCTAGAGTCTGAGGAGGACGTTGCAAATTGAGCAATCTCCTACCCATCATGTCCCACACGTGCTCAATTGGGGATAAGTCGGGAGATCTTGGTGGCCATGGTAACAATGTGACATCATTATGTTGAAAGAAGTCTATTGTGACTCTTGCAACATGTGGTCGGGCATTATCTTGTTGAAAAGTTGGATCTGCCAAGATAGGGTAAAAGATGGGGTTCTAGAACTTCTAGAACTTTAGGCATGCACAATGGTCATTGTGCATGCCTAAACAAAATCGAGACTCGTCACTAAAGACAATACTGTTCCATTCCTGATCCCAGAGTGACCGTTGTCTGCACCACTCAAGGCGATTACGTCGGTGTTCTCGAGTTAAAGGGAGGACCCAGTGTGGCCGGTATGAAAACAAGCCAAAACTTCTCATTCGTCGGTAAACACTTCGCATGCCAATAGGCCTGCCGTGTTCTGCAAACCATTCATTTGCAATGGACCTGGTAGTGGAGAAACGGTCCCTTAAGGCCAATAATCTTAGGCGGCGATCTTAACGGTCTGTTGTTCTACGGCGGCGTCCAGTGCCGCTTGCTCTTTGCGTACGGCCTTCTTGGGATTTGATTCATATTCTAATAACGACCAAAAATATGTCTAGATTTGAAATATGAACTTTTCTGCGTTAAATCTTCCACAAATCCTATATTTAGACACAATTATACTATTGTTTATCATTTTATGTCTGTAATATCAGACTGAAACAGAATTATTTGATTTTCAATAAAGGAATATATTTATTATCCAATATGGCGGGCGGTTATGTGTAATCATGGTATCGTCCATACTGTGTTTGGCTAATTAGAACATTTTGGTGTTATCTGCAGGTGTTACACAGCAAATCTCGGAAATGAAATACGCACAGAGTCAAATGCTTTATTTACTCAGAGTTTGTTCCAGATCTATATCGTCTGTTTGGAAAGTTGATAAAACCTTTGAAACGAATATTCATGGGTAAAATATTGACAAGAAGGAATTCACCTCAAGCAGCTTTACCAGCTAAGAGTATTTAACGACCTACTTAGTATACGTAGCATATGCATTCAAATCCCCTGCATTAGAGCGCATTTAAAGCATAATACCCATTCAAAATTTACTGGAATCTTGATTCTTATTAGTGCAGTATGATTAGTACCGAAAGATGATATTTAGCAAGCATTAGATACACTTGTTTTCTGGATCAAAGTTCGTACTTTATAGATTTCCAACGTGCTTAATCTGCACTTCAACTTTCCTGATAACATTCTGCAGCATGATATATAGGCATTATTGTATTCTAAACCTAGTATTGACTTTGATTCAAAAAACATTTGTGAATAATCAAAACCTGCCTTTGAGGCAAAAAGGTCGATGGAACAATTGTACCAAGTGTTCTACCTTATAACAGCTATAAAGCTGCTCTGTTATCTAAAGTACTACTGAGAGGCCACAAGATATGATGTTAATGGAATTTGTATGTTTGATAAATTGATTTGCAAAAGGCTGACTGTGCAACTCCGTCGAATTTTTTGCTTGACAATTGCTACAAAGCTTTCTTATATCTAAAATTGATACTGTGTTACAGCATATACAATATTACACAGAAGCGCAACTCCTTACGCTTAGTGTTTGGGCGAATTTAAATAACAATTGGGTACCGAAAAGGAAGAGAGCAGCCACATGTCACTGCAGGCGTGGCAGCTTCCTGAATACTTCAGGACACTCACGACCCGACCAAATAGTGCAGTTATGTCAAGAGAAGACAGTCAGACAATGCAATTAAATAAGAGAGATATGAGATGTACCCAAAAACATGGCTTCCACAAAATAGCTGATAGCGTGCTGTTCTTACTTAGTCGGAGATAAATGGGGTGTGCCTATTTTTTCGGTACCAGGGTATAGAGGTTGCAAAGTGAAAGCGAGATGCCGAAATGCTCAAATCTTCTGGAGTTACGCTACTGTTTATTTTGTATTCAAATCTTATTTATTTCCCGCCAAAACAAACATCAGCGCGCGTTGTTTAAATTAGCCCGCTCCTATTGGCCAGCGGTCCATAAATGCCTGGGCGTGGCCGCGAGAGGTGAATAGAAGCGACGATCGAGTGCTCATGTTTGTTTTAACTTGGAGTAAGTAAGGTTTTAATACATAATAGTTATGCTG